TGTTTTTATTATATAAACAAACAAAGGAAATATATACATCAACAAAATAACATATTGAAGCAAATGCATGGTGTTGCATATAAATGATTATTTTTTTACAATTTTGCTGTTCGTAAATGCTGAAGTTGACTGAACAAAATTAAAATCTATCTCAAAAATAGGCGATACACTTCAAGTGCTTTTGGACTTTTCGATTCCGTCGTCAGATTGAAGACACTTTGGAATTTGTATAATTTCCACTGAAAAACGCCCGGTTCCACAAGATCTGTCATTTTGTGATAAAGTGCACACCGAGAACAAAACTCTTTTATTTGCAACTTCTCTGACTATTGCATGGGCTACCCAAACATACGGTGGTCTACTTTCGCATTCAGAAATATCTTGGCGAATACAAAGAAAATCGCCTACGTTAACCGGTTTCAAACATATGAACGAGCCTCCCGAATAGAACGTTGAATCCCACTGAACTTGAACATTTTCCAGTCGTACAATCACAGGTTTGTGTTCGCTTGTGGATGAACTTTTCAAAAATTCAATGTTTTCCATGATACCCAGAGCATTTATGTCTGTTCTATCTGATTTGAATGCTAATTCAGGATTTTTGATGTGGGTCAAACACAAATGACAATTTGGCCCGATACTGAGTAATCTTAAGCTGAGTTCTTTGTTTCTTTTAACGTCATGTTCTGAAACTTGGAGCTTAACAAGAAAATTGGATTCCACGGTGAACAATGTATCACAACCTCTCTTCTTATAGGGATATCGAATTGATTCCGGTTGAGATCCTTCGAAATATTGTTTAATTTTCTCCGGAACATTTTCATTTCCCCAATCCTCCAAAATTTCATCAATGTTCCCGCGAATCAAAGTAACGTATTCTTGATTGAAATAAGTACCAGGTTCACAATGAACATTTTTAAGAAGCACAATAGTCTTCTCGTCTTCAACTGTCTTTTCCACGTTATAGTGAAGTTGATCATAACGTATTGTTTTTGTTGGTTGAAAATGGCGTATACGACGTCTTATATTGTTGAAAAGATATGCGACTGAAAAGGTATTCGTGCCAACGTTGGTTATCAAAGCGTCAGCCAAGTATGGATCTGTGTAACGAATACAAAGCAGACCAAGCAAATCATCTCGCGAAAACAAGGTTGAGCTCGGTGACACACACGAATTCATTAATATTTGCTGATTGATCTTGCTCGGAAGTTTTCGCAGCGGCGAAGTAAATTGCGGTATATCTTCCTGAATTAAGTCTGATGCTAACTTAACTCCTAGATTGTATTTAATGCCTCTTTTAGTCGAGTCCGTTGGTTCCACAGAAAGAAACAAATCGGAAGATGCTAGAAAAGGCGCGAGTTCTTCAACACCAAAACATGTTTTTGATATAATACTTTTTACGCCATCGTAAAAATCACGTGGTACCAGGAGAATTTTGCTTTCTCTTTTCATTATTTGAATTGATGTATGTCTAGTGATTACATGACCCGAAATATACTTCTTTGCGCTGTCGTTGTAGCTATGCATCATTTTACCGACAAGTAAATTTACTTTCCAATCTTCAATTTCTCGTGACCGAGCTACAATACTATAACTACACCTTTGAAGATATTTGGCATTCATGAAATGGTTCCAGAGAATTTTAAACTCTTCTTTCTTTTCAAATTTCAGAAAGGGATACGTTTTGAAGATGTTTACTAGAGTAAATGTTGGAACGCTTGCATTCGGAGAACAGGAGGTATGGAAATAAAATGACAGCCCCAATGTAACACGACCTTCCAAAAACCCATTTTTATCTGTATATAGGGGGTTTGTATCTGTCGACTGGGCAGAGATGTGTATTCCTATTTTACTACATTCGGGTTTTCTGCATTTCTTACACTTTTCAATGCTGAAAGCGTCATCATAACGTACGGTTCCTTCAGTGTCTATTGTAAAAGCTTTAACCAGATTTGATATCACATTAATTTTCATCCGGTTGACTTTATGTTGGATCGCCTTCAACAATATTTTAACTATTCTACCGCAGTTATAATCAAGTGGTTGTCTCCAACTTCCTGACATTTTTCGTATCTTCTTCACTTCTTTTGACTTTTGAAATAACACAAGATCACCAACTTCAGCATTTGCTCGACACCAGGGATTATTCGGAAAAAAATAGGTTTCGGGAATTTCAGCATCAATTCTTTTGATTCCAACTGTTAAGTTATTACCCTTTGAAAGTTCCGCTACAGTAGCAATAAATAATTCTGAATCGGAATGTTCTTCTGGTGGATGACTGTAGGTACACCTATACCCGAATTTGCATGATCCGAAAGTCATATAATTTTGACATGTTTCCATCTTCGCATCATTAGAATCAATCACAGAAGCTAAAAACACTTGGTGTGTAGAAATCACAGACGATTATTATACCTTTACTAGTTTTTGTTTTTATTTTACAAAAAACATAAAATGATCTAATGAATACCAAACAAACTGACTCGCTCATTTGACAGAGTTAGTATCCACACGCAAACCAAAGTTTGCTTTGGTACTCGGTATATGCTTGAGCGCGAACATCACGATTTGTAGCATTTCTTCTAAAAATATGAGTTATGAGTATAAACTAACAGTAGGCTATTGGCCAGCTTCATTGGCAAACAAAGGGATCAGCTTTCGGTTGTTTGTAGTAAATTATAACTGATTTATAACGTCAATACAATTATAAAATAAGGCAAATCTGATATATATCTCAAATTTGGAACTTGGTATATACTATTAATCAACTTCATTACTATCTGAAGATAAGGTTAGTTTCCCGGGTTTGCGGTTTTATATTCGAACATTTGCCACATCCAGCCGAGGATACTTATACCCATGCGCCTATGACTACCTGGCTAACTAAAGCTTCGATTAGAATGCAAATGGGTTTAAACACTATTCACAGAAAACTTTATGGATATTGGTTTTCACTGACCCTATTTTATTGGGATAAAATTTACGTATACCGAACACTATACATCACAATTCTATCCTTTTCGTAATTCTTAAACCCATTATACATCTGTCCTTCTTTGTCTCAATAAGTATCTAAATTTATAGTCGATGTGTTGCGTTTAATAAAGGGATAGTTCTGACGAAAATCAAATTCCATCTTGCTAATTATTTATCATGATATGTCGAAATACAGTTAATTAAATCATGAACTAATGATGAGCCCCGTGTGGTCGAGATTTAATAAAGTCGATAACTTAAAACAAAGAAATTGTACATAAACTAAATATTTAATGGTCTCATACTGTTTTTGAAGGTAAATATGTAAGAATGTTTGGAAGGCACAGTAAATATGTATTTATTTGACTATTGCGACAACAACAGGTGGCTGGCATTCCAAACTTTATTAATTACATATTCAATTATATTTAATTATAACATTTTGAAATATTAAATATTGACAATTTCAGTTATTGCAAAATACAAATTTACGTCAGGAGCAATATTTAATTTGAAAGATTTTCAGAGAGTTGTATTTAAAACCAAAGTTTCGGCTTGTACAGCGATAATTTCTTTTCTTCTAACGGAGCCTCTTAGTAAGCGTGTTGGACTAGTTTCGTTGGTCTCGCATATAAGACAGCTCGGGTACAGATGTCACGTTCAAAATTTCAAGTCTATTCTGAATCGAAAAGATTCCGGCTATTACAATAATATAGCAGCTCCTTGTATAATGGTTTTTCGTATTGTTTATTCTGATGTGATAATGCAGTCAATATCATTTCCATTGATCCTTGAATTGAATTTTGATTGTTTATACCCTTCATAACTCTAATAAGGATAGATGCTGAAATATTCTCATCGCGTGCCACACCACGTTCGAATATTTGTTGCTATAGTAAACAAACTTCCATAAAACAAAAAAGAAACTAATTATGAATACTGAAACATATCAATGTACCGAGACCTACTGATTTGAATAGTTTATTTGTGGACTAAAATGTTGAGCAAATGAGGGTACTCATGTAGTATGTATACCAGGTTAGGGTTAGGCCATAATTTTATTCTAATTTTCCTTATTTTAATTCTATTACAAGTTCGGGGACTGCCTGTGTTAGACAAGTGCATATCCCCCTGCCCATAGGTGTCAGTCCCTTTACACAACTTGATTATTAGTAGGCGAACAAAATTAGTTAGCCTACCTCCATATTGGTACACATACTTCTGAAGTGCCCAAATGAGAAATAGCGATGCAGAACATCTGCTACATGGTTTACCAAGAAATATAAAAGAACGGAAATTCAATCCTTTTTAACAACCACGAAACAACACGAATAATAAAAATATAACTGTCGCCAACAAAAATTATAATTGATAAAATGAGATAAAAATTGTCGCAAGGGAATTATTATTTGCAATGCTTGAGTTAGCCTTAGATTGACAAGACGTATCTTATATTTCTAAGAAAGTCGGTTACAGTGGCAGTGTTCTTCAACAGTGCTAGTTAAAGTAAAAACTGGCAACTACAATTCATAGCCATTCGAAATTAATCTCCAACATCTTATAAAGTTCTTTCTTATAGGATCGATAAAGGTTTTTCAATTCAATAATATGATTTTTTGTTGCATCCGGAGAATTGTTGAATTCCGCTTTAAAGTCGTAACCATTCCACCATGGTCGAATACAATATAGGCCGTTCCGTGAATTGCGAACAAAATCTGCTGATTGTAGAAGCCTTGGTATCCCGAGAAAATCTTGCATTCGGCCTACCTTTACAAATCAATTGACTATTATTAAGTTTGGTACTTCAATGTTTCTTAATATATAAATAAACCTCCTACAATCCGGGTCAAAGAATGTAGTTAATTAGATGGTTTGAAGATTGTTATTGTCTTGATAAAAAAAAGCTTGCTTTATTATTACTAATTTTCAAATTTGAAATTATACAAGAATTAGTAACTACGTTTGGAACTCATATTAAAGTACGTGCATACTTTAGAAATTTATTCATGACAGCACAACACATTGAACATAAAATTCCCTATTACGTCATAAGGAATTTCAACGAATATAATTTTGTGTCACATTAGATTGTCCCTTTTTGTGAAATATCTAAAAGCTACAAAAACATAAAAATATACGGCCAGAAACTATAAATTTTGTATATGCCCCTAGACCAGATTCTGCGTACGCACTTCTTTCTTAGTTTAATATCACACCATTTAAGAATATGACGTCATCGCATGGTTGAATGATCACCAATTAGGCTTGCACGTAATTGACAAAAATCAATTCCGTAATTACGGCAAAATCAATTACGTAATGACCCCGTAATTGCGATATTTTTCCACGCATTTAAACCTATCGTAACAACCAATTGAATCCACTTTTTTCCGAATGGGACATTGAAGTTGGATTTTCCTATTCTTGGCAGTACTACACGCCGGCGGCAGATGTTAAAGACAACTATCAAGGAGTGAATTCAAATTAATTTTATTCTGATTTTTATCTTTTGTGTTAGCTTTGGTTTTACTTTATCACCTTCGCAAATTAACCGTCCCATTTTTATGCGATCAATTTTATTTTATCATTACCGTCACTGGTATACGGATATTTATGGAAACGATAGTTTTTCAAAACCACTCGAGTACTGAATAAAAATTACGGGTTTCTAATTTATTAACCAACGACGAGCGTATTTTCTCATTTGATTATACTTGCGATTTCCTCGCGACGAAGACTTGTTTTTGCAGCGTTTTCTGCATTATCCGACATTACTGCCTTGTTAGCATTTTTATAATAATAATTATTGATGTCGACTTATTGACGATATTCCTATTACCATGCTTCATTTTACATTCAATCATTTCGCGAACTGAATGTTTATAACATTATTTGCGATAAATTTAGATCAAATATTATTTATTTGCGTATAATTTAAATACCGAACTTATATGACATGCCTTCTCCGAAAATACAAAGTTATATCACAAAACAATGCATTTTGTGACATTTATTTTACACTCACAACATTTATTTGCTAACTCAAGTCGGCGATCCTATAGGCCAAGATTGACAAAAGTTTGGTCGAGTGCCGGTGGTATTCAAGTCGACGATAAATCAAAATAAGTTGCCGCATTTGGTAAGACAGTTAATCATATATGGCCGAAATATTGAGAGGAATTGTGAAAAACATCATGAGCAAGGCCAAGTCCGGACTGATATATAACGATAAAACCGTTAACAGAACATCAAGATTTTGTAATAGAAAATGGATCTCGCACAGAATAAACACACAGGCTCATATTTGGTTATATATGATAGCAGTTAAATTTTCAACGGTCCGCGAGGAATCCGTCGTTTTGGTTCATTACGCAATTTCTTTTTTATCGTCATATTGCTATTTGATAAGCGCGACATTAATTATCACGGCGAGGTATTGGCGCGAGTGATCAATCGCTCTTTTCGCTTATTTGGTTCCAATTCGTCGCGAAAGCTCTTCGTTAAATTTCACAAGATAGTCGTGTTGAAAGGTTATGGATATTTTCCTGTTTATACTCCAAGTCTGAAATGAAACAGCCAAAAACAATATGATATTCCATGTTCATATATCAAGTGTTGATATTAACAATAAAGAATGGTTAAGCATTGCTAATCCACACTTGGTGGGGAATTCCCACTATTCAAACGCGTGACTATAAAATAGAATAAAATAGAAACGGAACATATATACCATAAGTAACGGAAAACTGGAACAAGTAAATAATAAATAAAAGTGAAATGGATACAAATGTTTGATAGACCATGTTTGATAGATTGATCTCCTGCGTTCATTAGTCATTTCACCCGAAGAAGTTGAAACCGGGCGTGTTAGCGTCCATCTGTCTTAACACAATTCTTCCCCCTATCTACGGTTATTATGTACATTGGCCATGGCCATGCTAGATAAGACGCGAGAGAAGTTGAAACCAGGTGTGTTGGCGTCAATCGGTCTCAACGCAATTCTATCCCTTATCTACGGTTAAGTTGCGGGAGAAGTTAAAACCAGGTGTGTTGGCGTCAAACGGCCCTACTCAGTTCTTCCCCCATTAACTACGTTAATAATTTACATTGGCCACGCCAGATAAGTTGATAATAGGTTAGTAAACGGCAACGCGTCATGCCTTCCTTCACCTACGTAACAAGAGAGAGAAAAACGGCTGCGAATACCGGAACTCTAACTTCTTCTACTTGTTGAGCTTTCATTTTCGCAATCGACGAAATTGACTGCTTTGAAGAAAGCTCGTTTCAATGCAATAATTACGACTTTACGTAATTCGTAACTTCCCTTCCGTAACTCCAAATAATTACGTAATTCCGTAAATCCGTAAATTACGTGCAAGCCTATCACCAATACAAGTCCTGACCCAGAGTCTGGTAAACGAATTATACTGGAATCAAATGAACTAAATCAAACTGTGGTGTTTACCTCATCTTTACGCAACACCAAGGACTCGTGAAACAAAAATTAGCAGCATACATCATTCACAAACCTGATGTCATGGATCCTCAATCATTTTTTCTCCGTTCAAAGTGAGCAAATTAGATGAGTTGAATGTATTTATCCATCGAGGAAAGTGAATTGAATATAGTCCCGTTGTTAAAAGAGTTGTTGCATAATCATTTTTGTAACTTGACATGACGTTTTTTAAAGTTATATTGTTATTTTTGTCCAAAGATGTCTTCACTCTTTCGATGTATACATCCAAATAATCATCAAATGAATTGTATTGAGTCACCGTTGATAAATTGGGAAGTTTTATTTTCTGCAAAACAAAGGAATTGCCTTCTGTAAGAAAATGTACAATATAGTAAAGCGTTGTATGACAAATTTCAGAGTTTCTGAATGAAAATAACTACTTTGTAGCAAACAACAGGAGCATCATTTATCGCTACTCCGATCCAAATTTAACTATAACGACACAAATGAAACCGAATTTCAAAAACTCTGGTGGTGTTCACTAGGTTTGGGGAAATGTTCATGTGGCCTAGGTTGAGAACCAGTGGTCTAGGGCTAAGCGATTCGATGACTATGTTTTGTTCATCATTCCAGACTCAATGGTAACTTGAAAAACAAACTTAAAATATGCTATTCACATAGTCGGTGCAGAATAGAATTCAGTGCTCATAGACCCTTGACAACTGATACTTTATTGGCGTTTCTGTCGTAACAAAAATGTTGTGCTTATCGCTCTCCATCTTTTATTTTTGTGGAATTTGCATCAGAGCATTATATTTACGGGGAAAGTCAATTTATTCATGGTTTGAGAAAACTTTGATAAAATATTATTTTTGTAGTAATTACAACGCAGTAATCATATCTATATATAGTTAGATTGCAATAAATATTTAGATAAATATTGCCATGAACAAAAGCAACTAGATATCCCCGTACAGATTTGCAAACGTTACCTCGTGAATAAAATCTGAGTAACTTCTTTTTACTGGATCGCACAGTACTAATATCAATTTGGCATTTGGAACATCCTTTTTGATTATTTCTGGGAGTGATTCCGGAGGAGAATCAAAATATGCATGGGCTAGGCAACACGCAATAGGCATTTGGCTTCTGCAAACAAAACTCACACTTTAATAGACCAAAAAATATTCTAAAAATTTTTTTCACCCATATATATACGATTATCATTTTCTTTATTCAATGATAATATTTAAATACTAAACTAAACAAGCTTTCAGGCTTTAACGTACCTTGATATAGAGAGTCGTCTATCGAATATGCAAGTAATTCAATGTTAAAACTATAAATCAGAGAAACCACAGTTGAGTTGTTGCGGAGTCAGGTCACCACTGGTAATGATGGGAACGCATATTTGACCCCAAAATTAATTTTTTTAATAACGGTATTCTAAAATATTACCTTACGCTACCAACCTCACTCTATATATGAAATGTGATACAATTTCGGACGTTTTTCGTCTTGCATTTTGAATTTATAAAAGACCTGAAGTAGCGAGATTGCTTGTATATACGTTATTTACAGATATAATAAAATATATATATATTTATTAAGTTTTAATTTTCATAAATAACGTCTAGAAAACATTGCCTTTCACACAAAAAAATGAATTTTACAGCTCGTTAGAACATGAACATACAATGCGGTATCGTTTCTCGTTTACTAGATTCTTAGTTTCACAACGACTTTATCGATTTCATATATATATAAGATGTTGTTCATCATCTGAAGTAAAATATTGCGCAGGAAAAATTAACAGATTGCAGGAATAAAAATATTACAAGGCTTACTTGTAATAATCCAGTCCTTTATCATATTTTTCGTTAAAGAAGAACGTTTCTATGTAATTGGGCGTTTTAATAAATGGATGTTGTCGAATAAATGTTATCATAGCTTCTGTTCCACATTTCTTGACTCCTATTCCAATGATGTTCGGCAGTCGTTTTGTTTTCTTCTACATAGAGGTTATAAAAATCAGAATCAACACACATATGTACCATGTGTTGTACAAATTCAGGATTTTGTTGCTTGTTAAACTAATAAGACTATTAGAACTTGAAACCAATATTATTTTAGCCATATTACGCATTTTAGAACGCCAAAGCTATAACATTAGTGTGTAAAAATACTAATATACCGGTATATATACTAACAATATGCCTGCATATATCGTATATTGCTAAAAACTGCTTCATATCATACCGTACTCTGCGAAAGTTTTAAATAATGATTCCATTCAGCTATTCGTATATGAAGACGATCATCTATGGTAATTCCTGTTTATGGAATAAATTAAAGTTAGGAGTTTGAAGAAAGTAGTATATATGTAATACAAGCCACCCTCATCAAGTAAACTGCGCCATTTCTTGGACAACCCAGCCTAACACATGATTAGATAACGTATAGTAAGTTACTTTGCAGATTTTCAAGTTCGATCTGTAACTTTTTTCTTCTTCACAATGTAAATCTGTAGTCTTTTGTTGTCATGAAGTAGTGCTGCAGGAAGTCTCAAATTTCCCACAGACAAGTTACAGGGATGTTTATACGTTAAAAACTAGCCACTATGTTTCAATGTCCTCTTTTATATAAACCCAGATTTCTACAAGCTAAACTCGAACTAGTTTGAAATTATGTATAATTTACAGTTGTAGTATTTATAATCTTCGTAGATTTTTTTCCTATAATCAGCGTTTCGGGGAAATTTTTACTTTTGTCATCTTCACAAACATTTTCTCTGATATTAGCCATTTTTATTGTCCATAAATCACAATAAACGTGAACTTGCATTACCTGCTTCAATGTCACGTCCTGAGTCTTTCTGGCACCGATGTTGTGATTTGATATGAACAGGTAGAATATGAAGTACATCAGCATTGAACATAAAATAATTAATAATACAGATAGTCTAATAAAATTCATAGCTTAAGATTTCAAATTAATGACTAGTAAAACAGAGATACAGAGTAGTATACAAAGTAAGTACATTGCAGAGGAGACTCGTCTATGAACAAAGTTATCGGCGAATTTTCGATGCCAACCACGATGCTTTATAATTGTATACTTGTAACTTCAAGTCGTTCATCTGCAGCAGGGGTTCTTAACCTTTTACTGACCGTGTACCACTTTATTGTTTTTTACTCTGGCCGCGTACCACTGAAAAAGCCCCCCTTTTTGGCGCGTGGAACAATGGCACAAGACACGCGCTATAAGAGTATTTTATAATGTGGCACTACAACCTTAATGACCTAATTCGCAAGACGGACGAAAACATGCCCACCTCGATTCGTTCGTGGACAATAGCAGGCGAGGGCGATTTCTAAAGACTGGACTGGCCCATAGGACGTTTCTCCGACCCTTGACCCCAGAAAAATTCTTCCTATACTTAATATTGCGAAAAATGTTATACTCATTTTGAGATTGTTTTGATGTGTTGGCGCCTATAAGCTGGTTTATGTGTTTGAAAACCCTCATTTTTATTAAAATTAATCAACCATGTGCCGCTTACAGGCACTGATAGCTTAGTTTAAATTAGTCTATCGCACCATTTGTGAGACTCATTTTTGAATACAACAACTAAATTAATGTTCCTTTGAAGACATAATGACAATTAAGATATTACATTCACAAATTTTTTTTGAAACGCAACTAAAAACTGACAAATAACACACAAAACTACAAAAACACAGCAATGTTTACTGATTGTTGCTGGCTACGGAAATAAACAAGGAAATTGATGCCCGGGGAAACATCCATAAAGGCCGTGCAGCGAATACGTACAGTATGGAAGATAAAGCGTGGTCAGCATATTTTGGCCAACTCAAAAGTTAATTGTTGCAATAAATTAAAGCTGTTCGCGTACCACTTGATCACCTTCCGCGTACCACATGTTGAGAACCACTGATCTACAGTCTACACACATCCACCCAACACTTCTATCATACACATAATGTATGTTTAAACTAATCTTCTGAAACTTCTATATTTTGGGCTCATATTTTTTTTAGCGTTTAAAATATAACTCTATTGTGCTTTCAGTTTAACATTACATATATATGAGAGAAAACAAAAATGGCCGTCGTTTTGTACCCTGACGTCGCCAACCTTTTGCTGTTCTATTTGATTACCGGTCTACAGTACAGTACAGTACAACTACTCAATTTAATTACGACACAGGAATAATTCGAATATCTTATGTGACTGCTGTATGTTTCTAGTCAGTGTAACCATGAGGTTTACAGCGCAGACGAGGCGATAATTTTGAAGCATATTTTCAATGTTCTAATATTTTTAGGATGCAAAGTATATTCACTTGGAGTAGTAATCAAGATGTCAAATATTTGGAAGATGCTTGAACAAGATTATGTTCTATCCGAAAAGGTTAGTGCATTATTGCGAAACTTTATAAATAGTTTTACAAATAATTCCTCAGAATAAATATTGTTTTTTATGAGAATCAAAAGTCTCCATTATTTTGTTTTGTGGTTTTCATTCCAGATAATGTCTTTATGAATAAATTATAGTCATTGTTGCATGAAAATTGTATCTGAGGCTTTTGAATTGAAATTTTTTTAAACTTTTAATGTTATTATATATACCCGTTGCAATAGAGCAAGAGATTTCAAGGTTTTCTCGGAATTCCAAGACTTCTACAGATTGGACTTTATTTTCAATGTCGGAATCGATATATTCATATTTTGCCGTGGTGGAATTATCACAACTTTCAGAAGAACAGAGATGGTGGGAATAATTTTTAAATTGTGAATCAAAGCATTGATAAGCAACATCGCCGTTAACTTAGAACGCTAAGCCCGAAACCAGACAAGAGCAACTTTCTGGTTGAAAGAGGCTTTCTTAGACATTTAATCCTAATCAGGGGGTCTTCTGTTCTGTTAAACTCCGTTACCATTTAATGTGTTTGTAAAGCATCAACTTTAGCGTAAAACGAGAAATTGACATACATTAGTCATAGTATATATTCGAGAGAATTTTTTTTCGCATATTTTCTCCTTCTCTCATTTTCTAAAAAAATTGACATTCGCTAATCTTCTTTAATTAACACGCTGGAGCGCTCACAAATTAACAAGACCAAAATTTCCTCGTCAACAGTTTGGCATAATCTTAGCGGGGATTCAAGTTAATATAATCTTGCCTTTGTGTTTGCCTACTTCATAAAAAAATTAGGTGATGGACACGAAGTGGAATTATGGATCATTTAGTTATTGTTGTCAGAATTTTCTTCTTTCTGTTACCGTATAAAAAAATCGCTTTTTTCATTAACTAATGGACCAATTGCTTTGAAATTGTCAGGGGATAAAGATCGTATTTTTCGCTATTTCGTTTATTTATTCCTAAATTTTCTACGAGATCTGGTATTTCATCCAAAATTTCGTTGTAATGTTTTTTTTATTTATGGGAAGACGGTTTTTAATCCGCCAAGCGTGACGGCAAAATCTAGCGACGCGAAATCGATGGTTTTTCGATACCTGTGACGCACTTTAGGGAGGTAAGGTGAGTTGCTGTAAATGGTAAAAAGTACATTAAATTAATACTGCAGCTGTGAGTCGAAATCCTTTATCATTTCATCTTATGTTGGCACAAAACGCATGAATTGTCATTGTTACAGGACCTGGTAAAGCTAGGGCAGTCCGGGTACCGGTACTATTAAGTTACGATGGTCGTCGTCCCCAGGTTCAGCTTCCTCCAGAATTTGATTTTTGGGAAAATATTTTGTTTTCCTTTGAAGATTGGCTCTATTGTTATATAGATTACACAATCTAGCACTGCAATGACAAAAAAGTAATCTTAAAAGTTAATAGTCATTCATTCCTTTTTTGATGGGACCCGTATCTTCACCAAAAGACAATCGGACCGGTACTGATAATATATTACAGTATCTGTTGACTAACGCAGTACATCAATACCGATACGATAACATCAATTACGGCCTACGAGTTTGTTTATTTTTTGGCAATTCACTCATTCCATTGTCTGTTACACGGGTAGTCCACAACATGTAACATGAACATTTCATGTATCCATAGACTACTGTTACACGACCTAATCTCAAAAACACAGACTACAAAAAGTACAGCAGAGCAAGCCGCCTGGTCAAACAACTGCTTGGCCTGCCCGGGTGGCTGGCGATTGCAATTAATAAGGCTGAGTGATCAGAGAGTGAATGGTTTTGTTCAACGACGACAATGCGTAAGATGTATTTATAAGATAATTTATGAATGGCACATAAGAGAATTCGGTGACGACACATTTGAACCCACGTACATTTGAACCCATACATTTGTTCAATCTAAATGCGGGTGCTAAAATCCATGGGTTAGGATTAGTTAGGGTTCAAATATCCGGTGCAAATTTCCATAGGTGCGATACTATACAGGTGCAATTGTCGTGGGTTCAAATGTACTTGGGTTCAAATGTAACGAAACCGAGTATTCGCTATAGCATTTTTAAGAGACACACTTACTTGCGTGCTTGTTAACCTCGTTTTTACGAAGTTCAGCGCTGCACCCCCCCCCCCCCCCCCCCCCCCATCATGAAGCGAAGCAGAGCATGTTTGTTGCGCGACTTCTGAAAAAACCAGAAAATTTATTGCAGAATTCCAATTTTTTAGATTCGTATTTAGAGAATCAATTTGGGTGAAATCACGAACAAGGAAATTCCTGTTAATTTATATATTTACTGATCACTAATGTCACGGGCGATTAAAAAAAACGAAAAAAGTAGTTTCAACATACTATGCTATTTTCAACTTATTACTAAAAAAACCAAATCATAATTCCACCCGAATTTCCTTATCTGAAGATTACAAAAGGTTCATGCAAGATTTTCTCCAATGTTAAGGCATTAATACAAAATCGATTAGAATGAGAATGACACGTTGGCCGTTTTGATGACCTAATGAAGACATGTGCCTTCACTTTCTATTTCTTAAAATAAAGTAACTTCAAGTTAGGCAGAGCCGTTTGGAATCTGAGGCGCTAGTTACAAAATGAGTGAATGAAACAATCGTGGCTTCGAACTAACGAATTTTTGCGTGTATGATACCAACATCTACGTCCTAAATACCAAGGAAGTATGATGTGTTCTGTACCTGGAGTCAACACAGATCTACCTTAACACCAAAAATAGTCGTTGGAACATATGATGCATTTTTTTTATTACTGAGAGGTTCGCAGTAAAACTGTAGAAAATATAGCAATATCACTAAGGTGAGCTTTCCATTCGTCTCCGTAGATATATATATATATATATTTAGAAGAAGCCTCAGCTTTGCCTATAAGGGGCTCGATTTTGGAATTTCGTATCCACGATCTTTTACCTGTGACGTCAAAACAGCTGAGTGCAACACTCGTATCTAGCCTAAATTACTTAGGTAAAGTTTATCATATATTTTACATGAAGATAATTTCAACAACCGTTTATCGCAAAAATAGATTTTTGTGGTAGCCGATACTGTAGTTTTGGATACAACTGTCAGGAAAGTAATCAAATTAAATATAAGTGCTGACGTCAATTATCCAAACACGGAAAGTGTTAATGTTTGATATTTCGAAATGTCACGAAAATTGAAAATACATTAAAAAGTCACCCGCGAGTAGCTATTGGAGTTATAGTCACCCGCGAGTAGCTATTGGAGTTATTAAATAAATACATTTTGGCTATGTATCTTAGTTACTCGAAAACAACATCAAACAAGGTTGCCAGATAACAATCAATACAATACAATGGTTATGTTCATTTTCAAATTTATCAAGTACATTTTAAGCTCGATCAACCAAGTTCCCTAATTGGTTTATGATTTAACACAATTCGATAGCAATATTATTTCGACATAGCATGTACTATTTGATTAATATTTAACAAAAC